AAAAAAAAAAAAGAAGTGTTACTTATATTAAGACTAAAAATGGGAGAAAGTTACCTTGCATTTTCCATTGCACTAGAGGATGAAGCTAGCTTCTCCTCCAATGCTGTGACTTTCTTTCTTAGATTAGCCTCTCTATCTTCTGCAGCCAAAGCTTCACGGGTATAAGAATCTTCTGTTTCTAAAAGATGGTTACGCAATCTCTCTAGTTCCTGGTTTAAGCGTAATTCTTTGTCACGTAAATGTTGAACCTAGATAGAGGACATTTCTTTATTTTTCTTCTATAAAATGCTCCCTCCCCCTCCACAAGCCACTAACTGTTATCAAATTTCCCCCCAATTACTGAAGTGTATTAACTGTATATTAATTTCTCATACTGCAAGATGCACTTATGCTAGGAAAAAACTCTCCTGAAATGATCCTGAATATTCATTTGGAAGATTTCTTTTGTAAGACCTCATTCCTGTGGCTATGACAGAAAATGGAATTATACAAAGATCAGATTTTTGTCACAGACCACTTTTTCAGTAAATCTCATTTTTCCCGTATTTTATGACTGGAAAAAATGTTCTTATACCCAAGATATGCCTTTGTTTTCAATTTTTATTTTTAAAAAATCAAGGTATAATTTAGTTTCAAGTGTACAACATAATGATTAGATCACAATTTTTACTTCTGAAAACTGAAGCAAAATGCATTCTAGATCAAAATTCTATCATAGCACATTAGAGCAAGACTAAGCAAAAAAAATCACTGATGAGAGAAATTCATTATAAATGCTAATCTTTATAGTTTTCTTCATAATTATTAAACTTGGTGTTTGAATCACTGTTTCTTTAAAGTGAAAGAATACCTCATTCTGCACAGCAGTGTTTTCCATTTGTTTCTGCTTCAGGGCCAACATGACTTGATCTCTCTCCTGCTGGAATGTAACCGTCTTCTCCTGCATTGACTTAACTGTATTTAAAAGCTGATTTAACTCTCCCGTCTCGCCCTTTAGGAAAAAAATAACTTTAGCTTTAAAGAAAAATACATTTAAGAATGACATTTCTTCACTAATTAATTTTAAAATATAGTTAACCATGTGAAGGTCACCAAAAAAGGAAAGTCTGAGAAACTGTCAGTCTAAAGGAGCCTAAGGACTCATGTGGTACCCCAGATGGCATCCTCAAACAGGAGAGGGCATTTGTTAAAAGTTAAGGAAATTCAAACAAAGTGTGATCTTTATTTTTTAAAATCTTTATTGTCGAAAGTATTACATATGTCTCCTTTTTCTCCCATTAACTCCCTCCAGCCCGCTAAAGTGTGAACTCTAGTTAATAGTAATGTATCAATATTAGTTCACAAGTGTACCATAATAATGTAAGATGTTAAAAATAAGGGAAATTGGGTGTGAGATATATGGGATCTCAACTATCTTTGCAACTTTTCTAATAATCTAAAATGATTGTTAAAGAAGAAGTTTATTACATAGATTTTAAAAGAACTCAAAAGACATTCTCTTCAAATTTACCCTAAACAAGAGTGTTCACAAATCCAAAATCACTCAAAAAAAGTGTGTGTACGTGTGTGTGTCCCCATTCATCAGGCATTCACAATTGTTGCTGGAGAAAGTTAGTATCAAGATGCTGGCAGAGGAAAAATAGGGAAGTCATTTTATTTATTATTATTTTTAATATAGATCTTTGTATTCATTTCAGAGAGAAAGGGAGAGGGAGAGAGAGATAGAAACATTAATAATGAGAGAGACTCATTAATCAGCTACCTCCTGCAGGCCCCACACTAGGGATTGAGCTGGCAACATGAGCATCTGCCCTGATGGGAATCGAACCCTGACCTACTGGTTCATAAGTCGATGCTCAACCACTGAACTATGCCAGCTGGACTAGGGAAGTCATTTTATGTGTACAACCTAATTTTAAAGAATATTTTGGCAACAATTTAATGAAAGAAAGCAACTCTGGAATGATATCTTGCTAGAATGGTTAGGAAAATGTATGCTTGATTGCATTCCATACAAATACAATATATTAAAAACAGCAGGAGAAAAAAAATAACCATTACAAAAATAGGGCCATGAGCCTGGCAGGTGTGGCTCGGTGGTTGAGCGTCAACCCATGAACCAGGAGGTCATGGTTCAATTCCCAGTCAGGGTACTTGTTCCCCCTAGTAAGGGGCATGCAGGACACAGCTGATCAAAGATTCTCTCTCATTATTGATGTTTCTATCTCTCCCTTTCCTTTCCTCTCTCTGAAATCAATTTTTTAAAAAACCATAAAAAAATAAATAATAAATAATAAAAATTGGACCATGAAATTAAGATGATAGCTGCAATTCTAAAAGCACAAAAAAGTGACAGGCTATTTACAGCTTGTTTTAAATATGCATATCTTATGGATCTGTTTATAGTTAGGTATCAGCTCTAATACACTACATCCCATTTTGGTTAGTGAGCAATAGAAAGTTTCTGCTCTCAAAAGAGTCTTTTTCATATCAGTTCCAGCTCAGCACCACAGGAAGCTAAGACGTTACATGTAAGGGAGAACACCCCAACACTATTAGTGTACCTACTTAATCAAATGGCAAAGAAGGGGAAAATTAAGACTTTTCTTACTATAATGAAAACTACATGAAGCATTTCCCAAACCTTAATCTAGGATTCTAAGAGAGAACCTATTTGGCAGAAGAAGTTAAATCATTTTGTATCTTGTGCCTAGCAGTATATAAATGCTCAAGAAGCACTAGCTGAATAGTCCCATTTCTTTTCCAAACTCCTACTACTAAAAGTATAGCAATCAGAGTAATAAGCACTATCAAAAAGCCCTACACAACATCTATCATAGTAAGATGTACTAGAAGGTCTTCAATACATTGTTATTAAAATCACAATCAACTGCATGTAAAAATGTAAATATATCAAAAACTACTGATGCTTTACATATATAACTGCTACAACCCTCCATTTTATTATTGAATAAACTAACCAGTAAAGTCAAAACATACCCAAAGTCACACCAGTGGCAAAGCTGGGATTAGAATATTTACTGAGTCTACTATGTGAAAAGCACTACTTATGGCTAACGTTTTTCAAATCCTAGGTTATGACTGATTCATAAAAATCAATTTAATGCAAGCATGTCAAACTTTTTTAAATACAGCATCACATATAGTAATTTCTAATTCCTGAAACTTGTTTTACACACACAAACACACACACACACACGTGCTTAATGTGTTATGAGGTAAAATGTATAACCTATTGCAGATTGTCAACGATGGAGCATGTATTTCACAGAACTTCTCATCACATATAAAAACCTCTGTAATGTTAACATTACTAGCAGCTACTGAAATATGCCTAAAATTTGGTTAAGTTGCACTGACTTAAAATACTCTTGTAATATATTTCTATTTTCTGAAGAAAAATATTATTACTAACCCTTTCCTACTTCAGAAGCTCTAAAAGATTAACCCAAAATCAAAAAATATTTGGAAATACCTAGTCTTTTGGGGGAGAAACTTCCAGATGCCTCTGAAGAATATTTATTTAGAATGAAACACAAAACCTTAAAATAACTATTTCTAAGTGAACAAATTCATATTCCCCTTCAAAGATAATATCAATGGAGTAACATTAAAAATCTCCTCCACCCCAACTTCCCTCTGTATATAACACCCCATTCAGGACATACCTCTTTTTCTTTCAGTAGCTGCTCAAAAGCAAGAGCCTTCTCCTTCATTGAGTGGCACTCAAACTCTTTTTCTTGCAGCATCATAGAAAACTTCATATTAGTCTCTTGTAATGCTTGATATTCTGTTTCCTTTTCCCTGGTTTTTTCTACTATTTTTTCATTTTCCTCTTTTAATTTACAAATGTCCATTTCTAAACTTAATGTTCTCTCCTTCAGGTTTGTTACTGCCTGCCTTAAAAGTTCATTTTCATTCACCTTGTTTGTGAAATTTTCATTTACAGAAAGTAACTGATCACTTTTCGCTTTAATTAAGAGGTCTTTCTCTTTAAGTGACTTTTGCAAAACATCTTGTTTCTCCTTCAGCTGTTTAATTTCTGAATCCGTTTGTTCGTGTTCTTTTTTTTCTAGCTCTGAGGTGGCAGCAATTGAATTAGAGAGTCTGTGATTATTTTCCTGGAGAGTTCTAATTGCTGCATCCTTTTCCTGCAGCAACTTTCTTAGCTCATCTATCTCGTGCTGAGAAGCTTCACTTAATGTTTCAGACTTAGTTGTTTTAAGAGACTCTGCAGACTGGGAGGTGAGAGATGATGCAGAAGAGAACTGAGGTGAGATAATATCAAGTTTTCCTAAAAGGAGATCTTTGGTGTTGCAAAGCTGCCCTATGCTATGCTGAACTTGTGCTAATTCGTGCCCAAAAAATTTGAGTTTGGTTTCATTCTGCTCATAGCTTTGGATCAGGCCAGTATAGTCCACTTGTAACTTAGAATTGTTATCACTGTCAACCAACACTTGTGCCTGAAGCTGATGAAGTTCTTCCTGAAGCTGGGCTGATTCGTGTTGCATATTCTGTACTGTGGTCATCACCTGCTGTTTCCACTCTTCCATTTTCTTGACTTGTTGTTTTAACTTATCACGTTCCTGTAGAAGCTCCTCAAACTGATTACTATTAACACCTCCAACCTCATCACTGGTGCTGGATGTTTGTAAAACTGTCAATAAGGTCTGACATTTCTGACTTAATGCATCTATTTCAATGTCTTTTTCTCGAATGATACGAGATAAATTCTGAACAGTTTCTCGAAACATTTCTTGGCCAGCACCTTCAAATTGAGTGGACATTTTCTTATTTTCATCTTGCAGCTTAAGGAGGGCTGCTTCTTTGGCAGCAACTATATCCATCATTTTGTGATATTCTGTTTTCAGTTGGCTGTTTTCCCTAGTCTTCTCATTCAAAACAGCTAATACTTGTTCTCTTTCCATAGCAAAGGCCTGCAGCTGCTGTTGAAGGTAAACAATATCCTGACTGTAGGAAACGGAAGAAACTCTAGCGTGGAGAGCCTGAATCTCCAAATCTTTCTGCTGGATAATCCGAGTTAGCTTTCCAACCTCATCCTTGGACAGCTGATCAATCTGTTTAGTTAAAGATAGATTCTTTTCATTTAGAAGTTTAATCTCTAATTCCCGTTCTTTTATTCCTTTTACTAACCTTTCGGTTTCAGCCTTAGATAAATCATGCTTTTCACTTCCGTTTTCTATGTTAAGGCTCTGAACTTTTGTTTCTTGAAAAATATTAGAATTATCTGTTTGAATACCCTGCCTTTCTTCATGCAACTGGGTTTTGATTTCTTCAATTGTTTTTTGCAAAGTCTTAATTTCCTCATCTTTCTTTAATAAGAGTTGGGTGTGCGTGACATTCATTTGCTCATGCTGGTATTTAAACTCATCCATTTCCTTCTTATGCTCCTGTAAAGACTGAAGTAGTTGTATTTTACTCTGGTTTTGATCTTCAATTATCTTTCGGTGGTGTTTTATTTCCTCTTCAAGGTTATCCTTTATAATATTCAGTTGAGATACCTCAGATTCTAGTTCTGTAATACAATCAAGGGTTTTAGGCTCAGCCACAGGTGCAGCTCGACTCTGCTGTTCCCGGAGTCGTTCCAGTTCTTCTTTTAGGTGATTGTTTTCTTCTTTCATGGATCCAAGATGTCTGTCTTTCTCCTCTATGGTTTGCTTCAAAATTTCATTTTTTCTTAAGGCTTCAGTATATTTATCTAACTCCTCCTGGAGCTCTGAACTTCTGTCTTTAAGTCTTTCAATAAAAACTTCTTTCTCATTTATAAGTTGTGTTAATTGCTTCCTCTCTTCTAAACTAGATGACAAAATGTTCTTAGTCTCGGTATGATCAATGTCTATCTGCTCAATATTCTTTTTGAGTTCTGCTATTTCCAAGTCTTTCTCTTGACTGAGCTTAATTAAGCGCTCATGTTCCAGCTGTAAAGCAGAGGCACTCAAGTTCCGCGCATCTGACAGTTCTTCAATGGTCTGCTCATACTTGTTTGCTTCTTCCAACAGCCTCTTTTCAGCCCGACACAATTCTGCTTCTAACTGTCCTTTTTCCGTTTTTAGAGTCTCCAAAACTGTGTTTCTTTCCAGAGAAATCTGATTGTTACCAGCAATAGATTCTTCCAACTGATGTCTTAAATCTTCACATGCTAAAACCAACTTTTCATTTTCCATTTTGAGATCAAAAGAAACTTTCTTTAAATTTTCATTGAGCTGTTCTACTTCTGAAAGATTTTGCTTTAAGTTTCTGATGTCAGCTTCTCTTTCTTTAAGTAAGTCATCCTTAAAATTGCTGTTAGAGTCTTGATTAAGAGGCTGAGTTAATTCACACCTGACTCTAGAAAGTTCCTCCTCCTTTTGTTTAATATGTTCCTTAAGCTCAAAGTTCTCCTTCTGGATATTTAAATTATTGTTTTGTGATTTATTTAGTTGATCTACTAAATCTTCTATTTTATCCTCTAGCTCCTGCTTGGTTAAATGCAAGTCATTTAGGACCAGTTCACTTTGAATTAATTTTTCTTTCTGCATCTCTAACTCTTTAGTAATGTTCATTTTATCATCTTCAAGTTGATGAACTCTCTTTTTTTCATCATTTAGATCTATTTTAAGTTTATTGATGATGCTATCTCCCTCATTTTGCTGTTTTGATAGCTGATCTTTTATCAAAATCATGTGCTGCAAAAAATAATAATAATTTGCATATTAACTTTAAAACATTCTCATTTTAGTACCTAAAGGAAATTTTATAAAATGTCATATACAATAGAATAATAATTCTCAGTTATTTCTAATCCTTTTTTTGAAAAATGTTTTTATTGATTTCAGAGAGGAAGGGAGAGGGAGAGACTGATAGAAACATCAATGATGAGAGAGAATCATTGATTGGCTGCCTCCTGCACGCCCCTCACTGGGGATAGAGCCTACAACCTGGGCATGTGCCCAGACTGGGAATCAAATCATGATCTCCTGGTTCATAGGTCGATGCTCAACCGCTGAGCCATCCCGGCCAGGCTCTAATCCTTCTTAAAACTCTTTTTTTTTAAAACCCAACAAAATTATTAATATTTTATAGCAAATTATTTTATCATTTTAGAAATTAGAATTTAAAACTAAAGAAGGTAAAAGATATATGTTGTTTATTTTCAACTTTAAACACTGTGCAGGAATCAACAAACTAGCAGCCAATGGGCAAATCAGATCTGCCACCCGTTTTTATAAAGTTTTAATTCGAACAGAGTCAGGCTCACTTGTTTACATATTATGACAACAGAGTTGAGCAGATGCAACTGAGACTATATGGCTTGCAGAGCCAAAAATATTTACTAACACTTTACAGAAAAAGTCCGCCAACCTCTATGACTAGAGCATCAATAAACTAAAATATTAATTAAAACACAAAATTAAATCACACCAATCACCTTGCTTGTTAATCCAGTGTTCGGTCTACTGGCTAGAAGGTGCTATCACACTGTCTTTAATATGGTACTTATTACCTTTGTAGCTTCTTGGTTCTGCTTATCCAGTTCTTCTAACTCAGCTATCAGTACTTCCTTTTCAGTAATACTCTGATTGAGTTCTTGTTCCTTTGCCTCCAAATTAAGTCTTAAGTCATGTAATTTTGAATCCAAATCCATGTCTCTCACAGTTGTACTTTTAATTTCTTCATATTCATTGTTTAATTTTAAAAGTGATATGTGAAGTTCTTCCTTAAATGATAAAAGGGGAAAACCACAACACATACTATCAACCGGAAGAAGAGACACTGAAAGATTAAAAATAGAAACAAAACCCAACATAACATTACAAAATCTTACTCTATCCTTGCTACCAATACACACAAGAGACCCTATTTCTACCACTGGCAATGTCCCTCTTTGCCCCTCACCACTAAAAAATTCCTGTCCACCACACTAGACACATTCTGGGGCATATAACAGTACGTACAGTTACTACAGTATGCCACTCCAGGCTCCCGACCCACCTGTGTGTATGTTGCTGTCAGGACGTCATCTGAAACCAAAGCACCTTTACCTTTCTTTTCTGCTCCTATCTGTATGCTACTGGTTTATCTCTAAACAGAAACTCTGGCCAGGCTCATACTCTGAACCTTGCCCAGTACTTGGCCTGACAAGCACCAATGAGATCAGCTTTACCCTCAGCATTCACAAGAACTAAACACTCATTTTGATATAAACTGGCTCTTAGCTGTGATTGATATATAATACACACACCTTTTAATTCTGCCCCCATTTTTATTGCACCCACCTTTTCTTGACTCAATAATGAATTCTCTTTTTCTAAAACTTGAACACGCATTTTAAGTTCCAGATTATCTTCAGTGAGATTATCCTGTAAACATGTTAAAAACAATTTTCAGATAACAGGTAATTTCGAGTTTATAAGAAAGCAGGCGAGCTATACAATTGGGCATTTGTACTCTGCAATTCTTAAGTGGCATAAAAATTACAAGCATGCAACACTGGACCATCTAAAAACCCCATCACTCATTTAACAGACATTTGCAGAGAGGATTTCTTTATTATATTTGAAAAAATACACATTTACAAAATAACCTGTAATCATCAGAAAAAGAAACAACTCCCTAAATATCATAAAGGGAAACCAAAATGCATTTCTCATTTTGGTAGAGGATCTGCTTCCACTGTCTCTACAAACATAACATTTGTCTAATTAATATTCAAAGAGATATACTTGCATTTTTCAATTATGGAACTTTTAAAATTGGTCAATTTATAATGCAAAAAGTTTGTTATTAATCAGCAAACATAAAATTCCTAAGATAAAAGTTCCTAGGATAAATTCACATGAATTTATTAAGAAAAACAAAACAAAACAAAAAACAGCCTGGCTACTGTGGCTCAGTGGTTGAGCATCGACCTATGAACAGAAGATTATGGCTGGATTCCTTGTCAGGGCACAGGCCTGGGTTGTGGGCTTCATTCCCAGTCAGGGGTATGCAGGAGGCAGCTGATCAATGATTCTCTCTCATCATTTATGCTTTTTTTCTCTCTCTCTCTCTCCCCCTCTCCCTTCCTCTCTGAAATCAATAAAATATATTTAAAAACACACACAAAATAAGCAACTGTAATGGTTTTTCTGGGTAAACCAATGCCAAAAGCTTTCTCTCTTAGCCGAAACCGGTTTGGCTCAGTGGATAGAGCGTCGGCCTGCGGACTGAAGGGTCCCAGGTTCGATTCCGGTCAAGGGCATGTACCTGGGTTGCGGGCACATCCCTAGTGGGAAGTGTGCCAGAGGCAGCTGATCGATGTTTCTCTCTCATCGATGTTTCTGACTCTCTATCTCTCTCCCTTCCTCTCTGTAAAAAATCAATAAAATATATTTTAAAGAAAAGAAAAAAGCTTTCTCTCTTAAAATGAGTTTACCTGGTTTAAATGACTCAGTCTCGTTATTTCACTTTCAGCATCTGTAAAAACAACAATGGATCTGACATTAGAATTCTTTAAAATAACTTCATAATTCCCTCCTAAAATTAAACTCAGAAATGAAACCCAATTAAAATAAAGTATATTTACAAGCACAATTAGCAAGCCCTCAGAGTTCTTGGGTGAAATGTACATTTGTTATTTTTTACTTCTATTTTGACTATTCCAAAGAAATCATAATGCCTGTTATAAACTATGTTAAAATCCAATTCTATGAAACAATCTAAGAATTATAATTGTATTCTGAGTGAGTCCTATTTATTGCCTTGATAAAAACAGTAACAACTGTTTCAAAGTGAGTTGATTAGTTTGTGTAACAGTAAACAGTATAAGGCCCAAGGGGGGAGGGAGGGCTTAAAACACAAATGTGTATTTATACAATACACAATCTATCAAGTCTCTATAGCAGCAGTTCTCAACCTGTGGGTCGCCACCCCTTTGGGGGTCGAACAACCCTTTCACAGGGGTCACCTAAGACCATCAGAAGACACATATATAATTACATACTGTTTTTGTGATTAATCACTATGCTTTAATTATGGTCAATTTGTAACAATGAAAATACATCCTACATATCAGATATTTACTTTATGATTCATAACAGTAGCAAAATTACAGTTATGAAGTAGCAAAGAAATAATTTTATGGTTGGGGGTCACAACATGAGGAACTGTATTAAGGAGTCGCGGCATTAGGAAGGTTGAGAACCACTGCTCTAAAGTGGCTTAGACATGACTACTAATAAAAAGACCATCCAATCTGGTATTCCGGATAGATCCATAAACAGAAGGGGTTTTAGAACACAAATGCAGAATACCATGAGTTCAGCTGAAGTAATTCATTCAATGTTCATACAGGAAATACTGAACATTTACTATGAGGTCAGCTGCTAGACCACAAAATGGGAAAATGTAGTTCTTGCTTGCTCTGAAGGAGCTTACAATTCAGAGGGGAAGAAAAGTAAGCACGTGATTACAGTACAATGTGATACAGGGAGCACAAGGTGCTATTAGGCCAAAGAGGGCAAACTCCTACACCAGAAGGACGGGGTGGGGTGGGGTGACACGTGGGGCCAGGGAAGCAGCTGTGCTAGTGCCTCAGAGTGAACATAATACCTGTGTTGAATCTTAATATGCAAAGAAGAGTGAGTGAAAATAGAGAGATTACACAGAGAAAGCAGTAAACGCAAAGGCAACAGAGCTAAGAGACAACATTGCCAGCTTAAGGAGCCATATACAAAGTTCAGCCCTAGCCGGTTTGGCTCAGTGGATAGAGCGTCAGCCTACGGACTGAAGGGTCCCAGGTTCGAGCTGGGTTGTGGGTTCAATCCCCAGTAGGGGGAGTGCAGGAGGCAGCCGATCAATGATTCTCTCTGATTATTGATGTTTCTATCTCTCCATCTCCCTTCATCTCTGAAATCAATAAATATATATTATAAAAAAAAAAAAGAAAGTTCAAAATGACTCAAGCTTAGAATGTTGTTAGAATAGGAAGAGTTGAAACTGAGGAGGCAGACAAGGAACAGATCATTAAGATACTACTTGTCTGATCAAGAAGTTTCACAGAGAGCCACAAAGTACTCGTCAGGAATGTAACCTGCTTTGCATTTCTGAAAAATCATTCTGGCTGCAAAAAAACAAAAAAATTGTTGAGGCAGGCTCCAAGCTGGGCGCGGGGTTCTTCAGAGCAGTCTGGGCTGCAGCGCAGTGGGTTCCTTGTCCAATGTGGGTGCAGAGAAGCGTGGGGACATGGGGGGAGGGCACCAATGCTGCTGGCCCCTTCAGCTTCAGCTGGAGCCCATGCTCAAGAACATGTACTGCCTCCATGCAGTTTGCTGCTGTAAGAGACGGACCAGTTCCACCAGCCTCGGAGCCTCCTGGCCTGGGTTGGGGAAGTGGAGGAGCGGGCAGAGCTTTCAGTGCAAGCCCTTCAAGAGGAGCTTAGTGATGTCCTCATCTACCTGGTGGCATTAGCAGCCCGCTGCCGTGTGGATCTGCTCCAAGCAGTGCTAAGACAGACACCAAGCGGTGATGCCACCAAGCACATCTGTCCTGTGGCTCTGCCAGCAAATACATAACCTGCCCCATGAGGCCACCTCTGAAGACCAAACTGTGGGGACCGCAGACCTTGCCTGTGAGTCCACGGGTAGGCCTTAACCTAGAAACTGGGGCCCAGGATCTGCAGCTCAGCATGGTATCTGAGAAACACATGGTAGCCTGGCCTGGAACCTCATTCTAGTCCTTTCCTAATAGATCACCGGCCTGGGGACCCCACATCCTGAAGGCTGAGGCTCAAGAACCTCTTGAAGACAGCCTCTTGGTACTCTTTTCTCTCAATAGAAGTTTTGTTTAGCAAAAAAAAAAAAAAAGAAGAAAAAAATTATTTGAAAAAGGGATAATGAAGCCCAGAGACTAATAACAGCTAACACTTTTATAAAACTTACTGTAGGCTAGACACTATTCTAAAGAGAACTTTGCAGCTAGTAAGTCATAAAATCGTCATTACTACTACAACTATAAAGAAGATAATATTACCGCAACCATGTAGATGAAAAAGACAAAACATAGATATTAACTTATCCAAGGTCAGCTAGTTAGTAATGGAATTGGATTCCAGCTCTGTTGTGTTCTTAACCAGTATGCTATCCTGCTTCATTCAGGGACTATGAAAGTTAACTGTGCCCCCCCAAAAAAATTATGATTGGCTGAAGTTATTCCGTGGCAGTGGAAATGGAAAAAGGGGAAGGCCTGAGGCAATAAATTTGTTTTTAAAGCAAGTAAACTCATATGGGTCACCCAATACATTAAATACATTTATTTTGAAAAGAGCTGAGCTACTTTGAAGTCAAATGAGAAAGAAGTCCAAAATTCAACTTGCACAGCTTTCCCTCTGCCTTCATGGCAGCTCCCAGGACTAAAGTACCTATGAGAAACCCTACAGCTCATCTGGGAAGATTAAGTACTAAGAACCTACAAACTTTCTAAGGAATAACTTCAAATGTTCTGTTTTGGGAGACTGATAAACGCTAGCAATTACCAAGGTAGAAAAAGAAGAGAGGAGATGGAGATTTTACTTTGAACCTAACTTAAATTCAAATTTATAGCCTTGGCCCTCCAGGTCAGGAATTCATGGGTACTCACAAACACACAAGGGCTAGAAACCTCCAGAACAAGAATGAATGAGTTCATATAGTTTATTGTGAGAGAGGACACAGTGGAAAATAAGATGTATCTTTTCAGCTAAAGAGCTCCTGTTACGTTTTTCTGGCATGAATGAGTACTGCTGCTTGGCCTAATTCATTTAATACTTATTTTTTGTAACAGAACACTGGTATAGTAACTAAATATCACCTTGAGTATGGACAACTATGGAAGACCTATGGCTCCTATCATTCTCAGGTTTGCTTAGATTCAGGAGATCATTTTGAAAGGTAACACAAGATTTTAAAGAAGATAGGCTGAATTCCCTACCTGGAGGGTTTGAGCCCTAATGAGTTATAGGAAATATTTGGTTCTTTACAAATTAACAGAAATAGGCCCATTTCTACTCCCAACAAATGTCTATATAAACATTTCTCAGAAATGTACATGGCCTCCTAAATCAGTGAGTTACACATAAATACTTAAAAGATGAGGAAGAGAGGTTAAGAGACACCTAACCAACACTTAACCCTTTTTAGTAGAAAATGCCTATTTGTGATATATTATGACACTGAATCTAAACCAAACAATTCTATTCAAATTCCAGTCATTTCCATAAATATTTCATTTCCACAAAGTACCCAGTTATACAAAGAGCTAGTTGTCTCTAAAAACAGCTAATATGCAATGAAGCACCAATGAGGAGTAAGTTCCAAACATTTTATACCAGACAGTGCTTGCTGTAGTCTGAACACCTCTTCTTCCAGTGATGTGCTCTGTGGAAGAATGCTTTCCCCTTCCTTCACAGTGTCACTCTGCTTCATAGCATAAGGCTGCAATTTACTACATTCCAGTTTCAAGTTTTCACATTCTTTACTTATTTGCCTGTTTTCCACGTTTAGTCGTTCTTGTTCCTTCCTCAAAACTTCTCTGTCATTTTCTGAAGACAATAATTTTCTGCTTATATCTTTTATCTGATCCTCAAGTTCTTCCACTTTTTTTGTAGACTCTACTTTTTCAGTTTGTAGAACTTGAATAGTTCTTTGCATCTCATGGATTTTAGGGTAATCAGTTACTCCAATTCCTGAGCCTCCTGAAACATAAACATAAAGTCAAGGACAACAAATGTACCAATAGTTAAATAACTTGCTATATACAACTAAGATTTTATAAACTTCAGAATTTGGAAGGCTTGAAAAGTTAAAACAATGATATAACACCACACTCCTATTAAGTTAAAATCCAAAACACTAACACCAACAAATGCTGGTGAGGATGTGGAGCAATTGGAACTCTCATTCATTGCTTGTGGAATGTAAAATGGTATAGCTCCTCTGAAGGACTGTGTAGTGGTTTCTTATAAAACAAGCATACTCTTGTCATATGATCCAGCAATCATACTCCTAGGTATTTACCCAAAGGAGCTGAAAACTTACATCCACATAACAACTCCAAAAAGGATGTTTATAGCAGCTTTATTCATAATTGCCCAAACTTGGAAACAATCAAAATGTCATTCAGTAGGTGAGTGGATTAATAAACTACATGGAATATTTTTCAGTGCTAAAAAGAAATGAGCCAAAACCGGTTTGGCTCAGTGGATAGAGCGTCGGCCTGCGGACTGAAAGGTCCCAGGTTCGATTCCGGTCAAGGGCATGTACCAGGGTTGCGGGCACATCCCCAGTAGGAGATGTGCGGGAGGCAGCTGATCGATGTTTCTCTCTCATCGATGTTTCTAACTCTCTATCTCTCTCCCTTCCTCTCTGTAAAAAATCAATAAAAATAAATAAATAAATAAAAAATAAAAAGAAATGAGTTATCAAGCTGTGAAAAACATGGAGGAAACTTAAAGTATATTACTAAGTGAAAGAAGACAATCTGAAAAGGCTATACGATTCCAACTGTAATAACAATTCTGGAATAGACAAAACTGGTGGCAATAAAGAGATCACTGCAGGGGAGAAAGAGAAGAATGAACAGGCAGATTTTTAGGGCAGTGAAATACTCTGTATAACATTACAATGATGGATGCGTGTCATTATACATTTGTCCAAATCCACTGAATGCACACCACCAGAATGAACCCTAAAGTTAACTATGGATTTTGGGCAATTATGTGTCAATGTAGTTTTATTTATCCTTGGTAAAAAAAAAAGTGTCATCCTTCTGAGTGAAGTTGATGGTAGAGAATATGCATGGGGGTGGGGGCAGGGGTGGAGGCAGAGACTATAAGGGAAATCTCTGTACCTCCTTCTCAATTTTGTTGTAAATCTAAAAATGCTCTAAAGAAATCTAGTCTTGCCCTAGCCAGTTTGGCTCAGTGGACAGAGCATCTGCCTGCAGACTAAAGGGTCCTGGGTTCAATTCCGGTCAAGGACACATGCTCAGGTTGCGGGCTCCCTCCCCTGCGGGGACATACAGGAGGCAGCCAGTCAATGATTCTCTCTCATCATGGATGTTTCTATCTCTCTATCCCTCTCCCTTCCTCTCTGAAATCAATAAAAATATATTTTAAAAAGAGAAAGAAATCTAGTCTAAAAGAAGTTAAGTAAATGCAATAAGCAAAGCATTTAAAAATAGTTGAGGAAAGATATTATTTGAGTCAAATACTAAAAAGTCTATGTATCTGAATTTGAAAGAGTAAAATATACCAAACAATGCAAGCATCTCCATATTATAACTTTTGCCACAAAGGCAAAGGGCCTTTCCATTTTTGCAGAACCATGACAATAGGAGTGCCAGTGCAAATTTCTGGCAGATGAGCAGAATTAGTCATTTACTCATTCTTTAGAACTTTGTCCAACTTTACATCAGTATCCTGATCTTACAGTGCTAGGCTTGTCATTTAATTATGCCAGCTAATATGTTACATTAATGAAATTAATAACCTTGTTGTAACAGATTTTCCAGTTCTTCAATTCGTTCTTCATATTCACTTAACTCTTCTCGATGCCGACGAGTTATTTCTGCCAATTTCTGTTGATGTGCATTCTGTAATACTGACATTTCATGTTGATGATCATCAATTTCCTGACTTCGGTTCTGTTTAAGTTCCTTAAAAAATAAAAACAAAGTTAACCACTTTAATAATTAAAGAACTTATCTAAGCTATTTCATTTTTGCCCAAAAGTCTGTATTATTAAAAACTAGAGGCCCAGTGCATGAAATTTGTGCTCTTAGTGGGGGGTGGGGGGGGGGCGCGGGAGGGGTCCCTCAGCCCAGCCTGCGCCCTCTCACAGTGCAGTCGGGAGCCCTCGGGAGATGTCTGACTGATGGTTTAAGCCTGCTCCCACTGGGAGCAGCCGGACATCCTTAGCACTACTGTGGAGGTGGGAGAGGCTCCCGCCACCGCCGCTGCGCTCGCCAGCTGTGACCCTGGCTTCTGGCACACTGACCACCAGGGGGCAGCTCCTGCATTGACTGTCTGACCCCTGGTGGTCAGTGGGCATCATAGCAACTGTTTGATTGATTTGCATATTAGCCTTTTATTATATAGGGTAATTCTCCGAAAGTGCTAAGGCAGAAAAAAATTTAAACACAGGTCCAACATCTGGACAATTTTGAGACTCCAGTGACCTTTTCCTCTCTTGAGCCTTAAAAACAGTCTTTCTACTTTTAATGAGAGAATACCAATAAGAAGAAACTGAAAAAGTGAGCAAAGTATCTTTTTTCCTCAGCATCTGTGACCATGAACTTCTAATGACATTCCACCAGTATCAGTGTCAAACTTCTAGTTAATGTGTGACTATTGTCCTATTACTCCATCCTCCCGCTCAGTTTTTCCTTCCAGTCTTGCTGGGACTCCCAAACGGTCAACCAAGTTGCCTTGCTACCCAAGTTGAGACCACCACTCTCTCTGCTAGGAAACTAGACCTTGGGCTGAGTCCCTCAAAGAGGGAAATTGTTTAAACCAGAAGCATTATGATAGCTGCACCTTGAAGAGTCTGTCCACTGTGTCCCACTACTTAGATCCTTGATGCTGTTTCCATTCCTGTCTTTTCTGAGGACAAAATGCTCAACTCTTCCTTCAATCCTGTGAACAAACTACCCAGGGTCCTTCCAATCAAGCAATCCAATCAATCAATCAATCCTCTTTTGCTTTACTTAGCCAGAGATGGGTTTTGCTGCTTGTAATGAAGAATCCTAATCTATAAATTAGCTTCTATTCCCTGAGAAGACAAGTGAAGGTATTCTTTATTCCTATGTACTTATGCGCCAGCACTAGGCAAGGAGCTTTACATTTATACTTCAAAACAATTCTACAAACGAGGTATTATGATGACAGCTACTTTACTGATAACAAAACAGAAGTTGCCCAGAGAAGCACAGCTTGTAATAGTAGAGCCTGGATTCAAACACAGGTTTGACTGAGGAACCCACCACACTAGTACTGTAATAATAATAAAACCCAAAACTGATCAAACTAGCAAAATTCTATCAAGAGAAAATAATTATTTGTAATGAATAACATTAGCATTTTATTTTATCAATATTCTTTAACCCTAAACCTTGAAACTTCAGCAACCTTAGAATTCTATTTTAATAAAGACCATTTTGTGAAATACAATAGAAAACAGAGACACAGAATATAAACTACCTAATAAATAAATGTTCAAAACAAATGACTTTGGAGAGATATACCTTACTTGTCATAAAGACTAAAAAAGATATAAAATGGTAAAAAGAAATAAATACCCTAATTTGTAGTTACTTTTACGACTCTTTTTAATTTAGGCTTATGATTTTCATAAGCAAATTTTAAATGTATAATAGCCACTGTTCCAACAATCTGCCTTACCTTAATGATATTTTGCAGTTTGCAAATTTCACTTTGATCAGAGCTGTTTGATCCTTGTGCTTTAGAAATCTAGATCAGAAAAACAGATTTCGAAAATTATATTGATATTCTTATAAAAAAGAAAGTCACAGACTAACTTTATTAAAAGATACTTTTAAAAAATGGGGCATTTCCAAGACAAATTCTGATTTTAAAATGCCAAGCATCTTTTAAGAAACCTAGTCCAATAGTGAGTAATACACAATAAGTAAAAAGATACCTTCACAAGTATGTTAACTAATAGGGGAGACAACAGTTTTACAAAATTAAAGAAAAACACCACAGAATATTCTACTCATTTAACAAAATGTGTATTAAAAAGTCTCTGTATAACTTTTTACCACAAAGGCAAAAGGACCTTTCTATTTTTGCAGAACCAATGTAAATTTCTGGCAGATGACCAGAGCTAGTCATTTACTCATCCTTTAGAAGTTTGTCCAACTTTATATCAGTGTCCTAAAAGGTAATTTCTAAAATGAATGCTAATAATAACAATAAAAATCTTTTAAAAAGATTTCATCCAGAACACTTCTACTCCAGTATAGAATAACCTTTGGTTTGACAAGTAAATAAAATAACTTTTGGATTCTTCTTATTCAAAGCTTGTTCATATACCTCTATTAACATTTACTATAAAGTGTGTTAAGGAACCAAAAGTTGCTCTCTGGATAAAATAGTGAACACAGCGTCCCTGGCTGGTGTGGCTCAGTTGGTTGGTGTCATCCTGTGCACCGAAAAGTTGCTGATTCGATTCTTAGGGCCCATACCCAGGTTGTGGGCTCAATCCCTGGTAGGGAGTGTGCAGGAAGCAGCTGATCAATGTTTCTCTCTCTCCCCCTTCCTTCCTTTCTAAAAATCATTTTTTTTTTAAAGAAGGAACACAGTACAATAGAAAGAACTTAGGGCTGGAGTAGAAAGATATGTATTTGAATCACAACTTAATCACTGTGACAGTGGGTATATTACTTGAACTTTTACTTTGCTCATCTGTAAAACAGAATAAATACTCACATACCTATTAAGAACTAGAGGCCTGGTGCACAAAATTCGTGCGGGGGGGGGGCAGGAATCCCTCAGCCCTGCCTGTGCCCTCTCATAGTCCGGGAGCCCTCAGGGGATGTCCAACCGATTGCTTAGGCTCGCTCCCCACAGGGGCCTAAGCCGTCAGTCGAACATCCTTAGCACTGCCTTGGAGGTGGGAGAGGCTCCCACCACTGCCAATGCACTCACCAGCCATGAGCCCGGCTTCTGGCTGAGCAGTGCTCCCCCTGTGGGAGTGCACTGACCATCAGGGGCAGCTCCTGCATTTAGTGTCTGCCTCTTGGTGGTCAGTGCATGTTATAGCAAACAGCCGTTCCACCGATGGGCCAAAACCGGCTCTCCGACATCCCCCGAGGGGTCCCAGATTGCGAGAGGGTGCAGGCCAGGCCAAGGGACCCCACCAGTGCATGATCAGGGCCAGGGAGGGACGTGGGAGGTTGGCGAGCCAGGGAGGGACCACAGGAGGACTCCAGGACGTGTCCGGCCCATCTAGCTCAGTCCCAATCGGCTGGACCCCAGCAGCAAGCTAACCTACCGGTCAGAGCGTCTGCCCCCTGGTGGTCAGTGCACGTCATATAGTTGAGCAACCTTAGCATATCATTAACATAGTACGCTTTGACTGGTTGAACGGCCAACTGGATGACCGGACACAGCATACTAGGCTTTTATTATATAGAATCATATAACATATATTGGGATAGTATATATGGAAACAGCTTGTAAAGTATAATACAAATATTAACTTTTATTATGCCTTGCTAGAAAATTAAGTTCCCCAAAAGGTCCCAATTATGCCTTTTTCACCTTTATATCCCAGTACAGGTCTGTCATATAGTAGGCATTCAAGGTATGCTTAAGTAACATTACAAAAAATCCATCTCTTCCTTATGAAATCTTACCCTAAGCAATGTTTCTTAAAATGTTTTACTCATATTATCAGAATCACCTGATGATTTATTTTTTGAATGCAGTTTTCAACACCCCAAAATAGGCTACAACATCTTAATCTCTTAAGGGAGGACAGGGAACCTACAATATTATCAGGTTCCCCAGGTTATTCTTACATGTACAAAGTTTAAGAACTACTACTACACATAAGATGGCCAGACAGATCATTCTCTCCAGATTTACTTTGAATATTAGAAATGTCTAGAAACTTGGGAAGCAGGAAATAATTTTAATTGGGAGGATTTCTCCTTTACATAATTAGATTATACTCACAAAAAGACAGAAAATACTTCATTTTTCTATACACTCATGAATTACACCCATAAGAACAATGTGCAAGTGTATTTTTTCTGTCCCAGTATATTTTGAATCTCATATCTATTGACAGCCTTCATAGTACATATAAAATCTGATATGTAAGACAAAAAAACGTTCCCTGGAAGAAAGTTTACAGCCCAAAATAGCAAGTATTTAATTTCTAATGCATGAGAAACAACACAAAATAGTTTTTAAAATTCATAATACCAATTCTCAGATTTTCATTTTACATGTAATTAATGCAAACAGAAATCTCAGACAATATCTAAGTGAGTAGTTTCAAATCTTGTGCCTTGATCCCTGAATTCCAGCAGCAAAGCCTTAGGAACTCCAGGGGGAAAGGTGCTGGTTCAACCACAGCAACTCCACTTTTATTTTGAAAATTCCTTCCCAATATTGTGCAGAATGGGAAACGGAGGCTGAGAGAGAAAGATGATCTGATTACAATCACTTAGAAAGTTATTGGCAGAATTAGAATGCAAGTTTCGATTTTCTAGTCCATTAGTTCTGATAATGAAATCTCTACACATAGCACCCATATTTTCACTCACTCAGTTTCTAAAAATTCATGAAAAGTTTACCTACCTGAGCAATATGCCTCCAATGTGCAACTTCAGATTCAAGCCTTGAAATTTCATTTGACAATCTGTTTATTTCTTGTTGTGATGAAATTACATCACCAAAGTCCATGTCATCATCGTGGAAAGCTGCAGCATGATGGCTGATACCATAATTGAATGATGATGATGATGATGCAGTGGTTGTGGGCACACTGCCAGCTCCTGAATTTACAGACTGAGCAGCAGACTGCAACTTTAGCAACTGATCCTGTAGTGCAATCTGTCTTGCTTTAAGATGGCTGATTTCCACCTATATATTTATAATCCGTATTTTAGAGAAGGTACTTTAAAATAACCATATTCTAGATCAGTGGTTCTCAACCTTCCTAATGCCATGACCCTTTAATACAGTTCCTCATGTTGTGGTGACCCCCAATTTCATTGTCACAAATTGAACATAATTAAAGCATAGTGATTAATCACAAAAACAATATGTGATTATATATGTATTTTCTGATGGTCGTAGGCGACCCCTGTGAAAGGGTCGTTCGAGCCCCAAAGGGGTTGCGACCCACAGGTTGAGAACCGCTGTTCTAGATTCATAAAATTAAAAGTCATAATAATGGAGCATTATCCAATGATTGTATGCTATCAACTGAATCTAAGTTTTCTATAACATCTCAACCATACATTTTTATTTAAAAGCAAATATAATTACCATAGTTAAAGCATAGATAATGTTTCACTCAGATGGTAACTAAAGCAATGGGATTTCTCAGTTAAACATGGATTTACTAGCGTCTATGTATCAGGTAGGATAGGCAATTCCTCAGAGTTTTGTTTGTGATTATCAAACCTCAAATGATGAGGAAGTAAAAGCTGTGTTAGCCTATGCATTGGAAAGTTTCTTGAGAACATTTGTTGGAAGACTCTATGTAACTGATTATGGCTAGTTTTAGGCTTAAAATGCACCATGAATCAGGAATAACTTTGTTGTGGTCTGTACAATGCTATTGGGAGAATGCTTTGATTTATTAATCCAGTCTTCTCAGATATGATAACACAGTGAGACTATAGTTAGTGTCTCATGAGTCTTAGAAGGAAATCATGCATTGACAGAGGGCTTGGCTTTAGTCTTGGCAAAGAGGGGCTAGTGAAAATTTGACTCTACTCAGGGAGAAAACATACTAAAGATTCTAAAACCCTGAGCAGAGTATTGATAAGTCATTGTCCAAGAGAAATTATGAACACAGGACTTAACCATAATGCCACATGCACCTGAGACAAAACACAGAAGTAAGCTAGAGAGCTCTGAAATAAGCTTCCTAAAATATTCAAGCTAGTCCAGAAGACACCCTTCCGCAATGACGAAAACTGGATACTTGAAAAGACAAGCCACCAAGTAATAGAGCATTTCTACATGGCTAACCTCAACCAACTAGACAAACAAACACCAAACACAACTATGTCAAATGTCACAGCAAACAGGTTTTGCACATCAGAGTTCCTTCTCTAATGGAGGTTCTAACAGTAGTGCACAGATTTCATTCATTTTTCTATATACAGTATGAGGCAAATTGCATCTTTAAGGAATATGAACATCACAGTGAGGACAGCAAATAGATTCTGCTAAAGTATGTTCATATATTATCTTTCATTCTGATAAAGAGTACTAAAATGCACAATTTTTTTCAAATGTAGCTACAATACAAAGAAAGTTCTCATTATACAAGAGACATTTATATCAAGTTGTAGAGTTAAAAAGTATAAACTCTAATAATAACAAAGGAATTTCTAAACTTGAATTCTTAATTTGGGGGTCTAATATCAATAGTTAAGTAGAATATAAAATGCCAAAGTTTTTCACAGTGGTATTTTCAATGAAACCACCTATGAAGTTTTCAAAAAATACCAATACCAGGGCCTCTTGCCAGTATGCTAACCCAGAATCTCCTGGAAAACATGAGCTGGTGTATTTTTTAAGTGTCACTTATGATTCAGCTATAAACCCCTGGATGTGAACTATTGCTCTATTGTAATATCTGTAAGTCAGTGCTACTCAAAGCGTGATGTGTGGACTGATGCCATTAATGTTTGCTACCTGTCCATGAAAAGTACAGAAACTCAAAAGGCTTAAAGACTTTTAAACCAATTGACGGAATAATTTTATATCTGTTGAGCCTTTTAAAGTAATGTGGGTTTTTAGCCAAAACCGGTTTGGCTCAGTGGATAGAGCGTCGGCCTGCAGACTGAAGGGTCCCAGGTTCGATTCCGGTTAAGGGCATGTACCTGGGTTGCGGGCACATCCCCAGTGGGAGATGTGCAGGAGGCGGCTGGTCGATGTTTCTCTCTCATCAATGTTTCTAGCTCTCTATCTCTCTCCCTTCCTCTCCGTAAAAAATCAATAAAATATATTTAAAAAAAAAATAAAGTAAGGTGGGTTTTTAATTTGAACTTGTAGTTATGCGTTTTTATATTCATTTTTGTAGTAATTCATTCTATTCTACTTTATGAAATAAATTCCCAACAGACTGGAAATTAAGCTCTTCTTTAAATGTGTGTATTTATCTTTAAGGTGGTTTGCTTTAATTTTTCATCTTAATATGTCACTAAAAGAACTAGAAATCAGTGCATCTAAATTTAAAAAACCCAAATATGAATTTATGGTAGAAATGAACATTTTCTCAACAAAATGAAGAATACCCAAGTGATCTGGATAATTAAACAAGACATGGTTCTATACAATAGAAGTGTTTACTGAATTCTAGTTATGTACTGAACACTAAAGAGAATTCAACAACAGAATGAAACATAGAAACATAGTCTATATTTTAAGGATTCATGATAACATTGGTTATATTGTATAATATTTATTACCAGAACTGCAAAGAAAAAGCTAATTCCAAAATACCTATTTCTGTCAAACTAAAGGAGAAAAAATTTATATGACAGTACAAGTCAACCATGAAATACTTAATATTCTGTTTTTTCATGGAAAAATCAAGTAAATGCCAACATATATTAACACTTATAGTTAAAATTAGCAATGATCACAGATTTCAAACAATTTTAGGTAGAGAGATAAGAAATTAGGTTTCATAAAATGAGAAATTATAAGCAACAGGTGCCTAAAGATATTTTATACCAGAGGCCCGACGCACAAAATTCGTGCAAGAGTAGGCCTTCCTTCCTCCGGCTGCTGGCACCAGCTTCCCTCCCAGCCCCAGCTTCGTCCCGAAGCGAATTAGCATATTATGCTTTTATTTTTATAAATAGGACTTTTCTTCTTTGGGAAAGCAGAAATTAAACTCCACAAAGGTTAGTTTATGTAACATAAACATAATAAAAAAGCTTACAGAGTTCTTGTTAAATTAATGATAACAAAGTGAATTGGTAATTATTAACTTCAACACCCTTTCCATATTTTTAAGGATCTAAATATAGCTCGATTTATATTACAACTCTTAAAAACATCCTAGATACTGTTCAGTAAAGTATGAAGTAACTGTAATAACTTTACCTCTTTCTGTTGCAGTTCATTTCGATAACTGGTAGATTGGTGCTTTATTTGAAGCTCAGAAGCTTCATGCTTTTCTTCTAGATCAGAACAAAGTTTCTTTAGTCTTTCATTCTAGAAGCAAAGAAAAAAGTATTTTAACAAAGTGACTAAAAAGTAAAACGTTAGTAATAGTTATTTCACGGCATTATGAAAACAATGCTTTATACAAAAAAAAAGATGAAAAAAATAGATGTGACAGAATTCTGGTCTTTAAAATACGCATTTCATAGAAGTTATTAGTGAAATAAACATGTTTATAGAGATTATGCATAATTCTAAAGAAAAATTAAAAAATAAATCTCAGTTTGATTTTCTGCTAAAACCAAACCACTGATCAATGTTTACCCCATCTTTTTATACAGAGTATCTAGCATATAATAGGCAGTAAATGTCTGGTAGATGAATGAACTAGATTACATATTTAAACTTTTGTTTTCTCTCCAAACAGAAGAACTTTCTTAAAGAAATATTTTTTAAAAAGACTTCTGGCTGAAGTACAGATAGGAGGCCAAAGCCTTACATCACTTGTCTGCCTAAATCCCAGGGGCACCTCTAAAAATCCAATGTAAGAACTACTTGGTTTGAAAAACTACAGTTTGCGGCCGGAAAGGGTTGGGGGGAAGGAGGGAGTGGGGAGTTTTGTAATACTTTAAGCAATAAAACTTAAAAAAAAACAACTACAGTTTGAATTATACAAAATATTCTAAGTATAATTCAATGAATCTAGATATCACAGTCCTTTGTTTTAAGATATTGACACATACAAAAATATTAAATTTAATATACCTAAATATTAAATCTTGACCTGTTATCATTCTCTGAAATCTGAATGAATAAGTACATAATGGAGCAAGAGAAATGAACCCTAAAACTTTCTGCAAAAAGGAATTTACAAATTATTACAGATAATAATTTACTAAGACTTCTACTAATATATCTACAAACACAGTTTAACAATAATAACTGAGTCTGAGGAGCCTGATGGTGGAAAAGAAAGCTGCTGCTAGGAGGCGAAGACTTTTTCACTTTGAGGATGTCATCTGTCCTCTTCTTATATTCGAGGAATCCTATATAATAAAAGGCAAATATGCAAATTGTCCCCTCAACCAGCAGTTCGACCGGGAGTTCAACCAGGGGCTGGCCCCTTCTCCAGCTGGACCCCACCCATGCATGAATTCATGCACCGGGCCTCTAGTTTCTTATATTGACAGATGTGAAAATTATGACCCAGGGAGATTATGTGAATTCCCAGAGAACAATCAGTGGAGTAAATTAATGGAAAAATTAGAATATACACAAATCCTAGTTTGGGAGACTATCTCCAGAAATCTAACCAGACCTTGGTTATGTTGAAGAAATATTAGTAAGAAATAGGACCAATGGTCACACAACCACTTTCTATTCTATTGGCTGCTCTTACATGATTTTCTGTTAGCATGAAAAACACCAGACATAACTGAAGCAATACAGTATAGTGAAGTCAAAGCCGTGTCATAAAAATCCACTCCAGGCTTTTTCACAAACAATACATAAGACTACCTTTAACTCTGCTGAATAAGTAGAACTCAAAAACTTTAAATTTGGCCAATATCTAATTGGCTGTCTCTCCTCATCTCCCTAGCGGTGTGAATCAGAAAGGTTAGTAAAGCGCAGGAAGGACAGACTTCATGTGCTGACCCAGGAGCTGTCATGGGCTATTTCTATTATGTGGACTATGAAGCCGAGGGGGCTAGTCTGAAAGGAGAAAAGAATAAACACAAAAAAGAAGAGAGGAGCTATGACAGAGAGAGATTCCCAAGGACTCCAGTTCTGGTTGCAGATCCTTCTCAAAGACTGGCTACAATTTCTGCCCCTGGAATCCATGATACTCTTGTTCTGGAATTATTCCATTCTGCTTAATCCTAGTTATACCATCAAGGTCTACTGGAACCAATTTTAGCCTATGAGTTTCCTGTTTGAGTAGTCCTAACTATCAAAAAAGATTGAGGTTCATGCCCTGCTGGTTTTCTCAGTGGTTATAGAGCGTTGGCCCACTGACCCAAGTGTCACAGGTTCAACTGCTGGCACACACCTTGGTTGTAGGTTCCCTAGCCTGGTCAGGACGCCTGCAGGAGACAACCGATCAATGTGTCTCTCTCCCATCAATGCTCCTCTGTCTCTCTCTCCTCCTCCTCCCTCCCTTCCACTCTGTCTAGAAATCAAAGGAAAAAATATGCTCAGGTGAGGATTGAAAAAATAAATAAATAAATAACTGATTTTCATGACTTTTCTTTTTTTAGAGATCTTCCAAGAAAAGAGAAAAGACATTTATTTAACAGAATAAAACTCATTCTATCTTGCAAGTACCACAGGATACATTGGGCCCTTTTATAAGTCTAAGAATAATCATGGGATAATAATGATTGTGTTTTCCATATCTTGAAACATTTTGCTATTTTATCATCCTGACAAAATGATAAATTATCTTGTCATTATTCATCAATTATTCCCACGATGCTAAAAACAAATTAATTAATAAGAAAATGAAAGACTGGTGGAATCTTCTAAAAGAATGATGCAATAATGAAATAACCAGTTTTCTGACTGTGTTGCCCAATGTATTGCATCATCTTTTTAAAACGATAAAAACTATCTGGAGATCTCATCTTTGTAGCCTTTTTTTTTTTTTGCTTTCATTGAACACAGTTGAAAATTCAGAATTTTCATTTTTTAACAAAGAGGAGAAAACAAAAAATTTAAACAATTATTACACAATTAAGAAGATCAATGCAAAGAGATAGAAAAAAGCATTCTAGAGTCTAACAGTTATGGTGAAACTGAGTATAGAAGCAAAATCTCAGACAAATCTTCAAATAACAATATCCTCAGTAAATTTTCTCAAACTCAAGAACCAATGACTCAACAATACATCCCTAAGAATAAAAAGGAGCCCTGACTGGTTTGGCTCAGTGCATAGTGCGTCAGCATGTGGACTGAAAGGTCCCAGGTTCGATTCCAGTCAAGGGCATGTACCTAGGTCGTGGGCACATCCCCAGTGGGAGGTCTGCAGGAGGCAGCTGATCTGATTGATGTTTCTCTCTCATCGATGTTTCTAACTCTCTATCCCTCTCCCTTCCTCTCTGTGGAAAATCAATAAAATATATTTTTTTTAAAAAAAGGAGACATATGTAATACCCTTTGTAATACTTTAAGCAAAACAATTTTTAAAAAAGAATAAAAAGGAAATATAGTATTCTCATCAAGTTAGTCATTCAATAAGAAAATATTTTATTTCACAATGTTTTTTGACAAGAACTTGAACCATTCCCACTGTGCTAAATGGATATGTGACAGTATTCTTTCATTATGAACATTTGAACATTTACTTGGTATAGTTCATACAGGGGTAAATGCTGAAAGCAGATGACTGGGAGGAAACAGATAACTTAAAGATGAAAAAAATTCAAAGGATTGATCCTTTAAATTGGCATTAATAAATCTAAGAATAAAAATGTTTTGCAGCCGAAACCGGTTTGGCTCAGTGGATAGAGCGTCGGCCTGCGGACTGAAAGGTCCCAGGTGCGATTCCGGTCAAGGACATGAACCTAGGTTGCAGGCACATCCTCAGTAGGAGATGTGCAGGAGGCAGCTGATTGATGTTTCTCTCATCGATGTTTCTAACTCTCTATCTCTCTCCCCTCTCTGTAAAAATCAATAAAATATATTTTTTAAAAAATAAAAATAAATAAATAAAATGTTTTGCAATTATAGAGCAAAGATGACAAGCAAAATCATGAACCATCAGAGTTTTCAAAAGTATTGGGTTTAGTGACACAAATAAAGAAACAGAACTTAAATAAATAAGCTAATATCTATTAGAAATATAAGTGAATCTAGAATCAGTATTTACAAGATAAGATATAATCCAGTTCATGCATAAGAATTAATAAGCAGTAAATTGCATTCAAAGAACATTGCCTATTTTGAGTATATGTTTTTAAAACCAGAAACATATAGAACAGAATTTTGGATTTGCTATATAAGCTCTTAATAAAATTTTTCACTATGACTTCATTCTTACTTCTGTAAATTACTTATAAAATGATTTAATATTTAAAAAATTAAAAGAGCCCATTGGATCCAGATGGCAAATGTAATAACTATTTTTCTTGGTATAGAGGGTTAAATTTGCTTAGATTGGTTGCTATTACTTGCAACTAAAGAAACCCAGCTAATTCAGTCACCGTCAAATACTAACATCTGTACAGAGTCTAATTTCCTCTGGAAAACACACTGAACTCTGTCTAAACTAAAACTTTATACTGTAAGTTCCCTGATGGCTTCAATCATATCTTCACCTTATTCTTTCATTGCACAGTCACATAAGGATTTAGGGTGTGAAATGTTTATGTGCTGACATAAGGCAAGAATCATGTACATTTAAAATCACCTTAGAAAACAAAGCCCCTGGGAAGCCCAATAGTGTGTTTTCCTCTAGTACTTGAGTAGCTCACATTACTTTGAATAAGCACCAAAAGAGGAAGTAGGTTTTCATTTGGGGATGTGTCATACTAAAAATATGTATTTCTAAACACTAGAATCATATTTGCCATGTAGCCCAATGGTAACACTATGAGAGATTAGACCTGAGATCAAAGAGGGGATGGAAGGTTTCTTTCTATCTCCCTTCTCAAGCTCTATAACAGAGCAGACATTCGTTAAGCTCATTAACCCTATTTACTGTTTCTCCCAAAAATGTACACTGGTAAATTTACCATAATTAATGCTAGTATACACAATGCCATATACTTTTTCTGGTGGTCTGTACTAAAGGAACTACAGGAACAATTTCCTATCTCAGTCTTACAAAAAAGAAGAAATTAAGTTCACCTGTCACAAAAGCATCTACTTACTAAGTAATTACAGAAAACGTCTCTAACGTGTCACCAACCTGCCCTTTTCTATGGAGGCAAAATATCACTGTAATTCCTCTTGAGAGGTCTTCTGTTTGCAAATTCCGCAATCTCATCTTGGTAATCTCGACCAAAACTCAAAAATGCTTGCTGTAAGTAAATTTTTTCAAATTCAATTTTCTCTTTTTATGAGCTTAACAGACAGGAAAACATGCTTGTTATAGTCTCTAAGAATGACTTTTCCTAAAATATGATTGTGTTCCCTCACTGCTCTTATTTTTGGACTAAATCACTGAATGTCTCATACTTTATAACAGATCTCACTTTAAATCCTTTCATGTTCTTTGTGGCTTTCCTTTGAACCCTTTCCAAGTTTTCCTCATCCCTATTAAGTATGCATAACGTCCAGAGTTAGACACCACAAGGCACTAACTAGTAATGAGAAAGATGATAAAAGTAATTTGCTATACCTATATTATTAATTTTTCTGTATACAAACATTACACTTAAGTGTGCAATTTAATTTAGCACAGTCAGAACACAGTAAATCCTTGACAATGATAAATTGTTACCATTATTATTTCGATATTTAGCAGTCTTCCTACTCCCAGCATAGAGAAGCAGAGATGGAAATATTACATAGCAAAGTGCAGTAACATATGTAGTCTTCATCTAAAGGAAGTTGATAATGCTTTAAAAAACTTAAAGAGCAAGAGACAAAAAGTGGCAAGTATGGCAAGCAGTGTATTAAAAAGAGAGGACCAAAATAAAGCATGAATAACTTTCATGACTTTGAAAAAGAAAAATCTAAAGTTCAACAGTAGTCTTTAATTTTCCTTACCTCTGATCTTAAGATTGCATGAATGGCTTCAATTTCCTCTCTCCTAGAATTAGGTAATTCTGCTATAAAAGAAACAGCACATTCTGAATATACGATCAACACCATATAAACTAATAAACAGGCATTGTAAGGGAAATATACTGCACTGAGCTTTAAACAATGGTATGCTGATCCTAGAATCTATTCAGAAGATAAATATTACTTGATCTTATCACTACTTCCTACTGCTACAAGTGTTCTTTACTGTCAGAGAAGTCATTCTTTTTCTTTTTTTTAAAATATATTTTATTGAGTTTTCACAGAGAGGAAAGGAAAGAGAGAGAGAGTTAGAAACATCGATGAGAGAGAAACATCGACCAGCTGCCTCCTGCACATCTCCTACGGGGGATGTGCCCGAAACCCAGGTACATGCCCTTGACCGGAATCGAACCTGGGACCTTTCAGTCCGCAGGCCGACGCTCTATCCACTGAGCCAAACCGCTCTATCCACTGAGCCAAACCGGTTTCGGCAGAGAAGTCATTCTTTTTGCCTATTTTATACACCCTAGGGCAGGGATGGGCAAACTTTTTGACTCGAGGACCACAATGGGTTCTTAAACTGGACCGGAGGGCTGGAACAAAAGCATGGATGGAGTGTTTGTGTGAACTAATATAAATTCAAAGTAAACATCATTACATAAAAGGGTACGGTCTTTTTTTTTTTTTTTAGTTTTATTCATTTCAAACGGGCCAGATCTGGCCCGCGGGCCGTAGTTTGCCCACGGCTGCCCTAGGGTATCCTCCTTTAATCCTTAGAAGTGTTCATTAAAGTTTGGAAAATTAAGTTTTACAAATGAAATCTCTGTGTTTAGATGAAATTTATGCAACTGGGTTTTAAGGCCTTATTTCTAACTTCTGCTCCCACTACTATCAAATAATTAATGACCTAGAAACAAAGAATGAAAATATGCTATAAGAACACTTATTTCAAATAACACAGACACAATTTATTTACAATAGGAATAGCTCAGCCAAGCTAGTGTTGCTCAGTGGTTGAGCCTTGATCCTTGGTTGGAACCCTGTCAGGGCACAGGACTGGGTTATGGGCTCGATCCCCAGTAGGGGGCTTGCAGGAGGCAACTGATTGATGATTCTCTCTCTTCATTGATGTTTCTATCTCTATCTCCCTCTCCCTTCCTCTCTCTGAAATAAATTAAAAATAATTTTTGTCTAATAGGAATAGCTTAGTCTAGGTTCACACACTTTCATATACCAGTAAGAAAAGAATCAGAGGCCAGTAGTGGCAAAGCACCATTCATGCGACCAGAAAATTATCATGCACTGTTAGGTTTTTTCCTACGTACTAGTATTTTTCATTACTCACAGCACTTTAATACTATAAAAATAAGTTCTCTGAATTACAGTTTAAATTGGAAGAAAATACAAGTGGTGTACAATAAAAGTGACAAACCCACTCTTCTTGTTTTGAAAATCACCAGGTGCAGTTGCTTCTGTGGTTGTTTATACATCTTGTTTAAAACTCTGACAGGACTGTCTAATTGCTAGTCAGAAGAGAACAAATTATAATCTAATCTGTTTAGGAAGGTAATTATAGACCAGCAATTGTTCCAGAGAGGGATAAAACAAAGTTACCTCTCCCCCCAAGCGCACCCCCCAAAAAAATCTTGGCCTTTTTAGGAATAAAGGGGAGATGTAATACAGACAAAAAATTATTCCTCACAGAGGGAAAACAAAAACAATAGCTACCGTTTAGTAATGCTTACTATTCTCTAGGCACAGTGCTAAGTGTTTTATACTCATGACATCATTTAATCCTCCCAACCTCATGATAGATATCATTATCCCTATTTAACAAATAAGGAACTCTGCCTTTTAGAGATTAAATACTTAATAATTTGCCAAAGAGCCCACAATTTTTAATATATGGAAGGAGAATTTCAACCCATGTTTGACTTAATATCCCAAGCTCCTAACCTTGAATAAATCAGTACAGTGTTTGCTTGGTAGAATAGCAACTTTCTGATATTGTAAACATGGATGATTTTCAAGCTGTACCAACAGTACTATTTGAGAACTATTATCTTGTTCACCGCTGACACAGGATACACACTCAATAAATACTTGTTGCATGAATCAATGAACTGGACTCTGACCTGATCTTTAAATGATTTATAAAACCAGTGATTAGGTGTTAAGCAAGTCCTATTTTAATACAAAGGAAAACAAAAGCACTAAGCAACTTTGAAGATTTTTAATCACTGAGCAAAATTTTTACTGAGCATCCACTATGTACCCGGGAAGATGCCACATAAGGAAAAATAAAATACAGTCCTCACCCTGGGCACCAAGGGAAGAGATAAATGATAACTCAACATGGTGAGTGCGGTCAGAGACCCACAAAGTTCTGCTAGAACATAGATCGCCTGCAATCAATCTAACCTGCCATGGAGTGAGAAGAGTTCCACCTAGCCCCTGACATGTGAGCGGGGTCACACAAGAAAAATTGTCTCCCATGCAGAGGCTTGAAGTTGTGTAGGTACACAAAGTTCCATGTGGCATTGCTCTGGATGCAAGCACATATGCGTATGTGTATGTGTATGTGCATTATGTTTGGCAAGTGGAAGAGAGGGGGCGGGAACAAGAGGTAAGACTGGAAAAGGTAGGTTGAACGCAGATAGGATAGGTTTCTGGTCTCCCAAAATTAAGAGGTTTGGATTTTATCAAGGAAGTCAGGGTCAAGAGATTTTAAAGCACATTTGTTTTAGAAGAGTAACTGGCAACTCAATAGAAAGTAGAGTGGAACGGGGAGAAATGGATGACAGGGTGGGAACGATAATGGGGTATGAACTAAAGAAATAGGAGTAATTAAGGAAAGGACAGATAAAAGTAACAATTCTGGCACAGGATGACCAAGATTGGTGACCAATTGGGAGATGAAAAAGAGGCAAAGCAAAGATGACAAACATTTCTATTCTAGGAGACTGGTGGATGGTGAAACCAGTAAGACTGAGACTATAGGAACACGTCTGGTGGGAAGAACAAAATTAATTCCACCTTAAACCTGCAGGACACCCAGGTTGGGGTACGCATATTTTCTGGTTTAGGGTCAAAGAAATGGCCAGCTGTTTTCCCCTGTGTGGTATACAATAGTCCCTCCCCGCGTCAGGGGCCCTTCCCTGCCTCTGACAGACCTCCCTGGCCCTCTCCTCACCCCGATTCCCAACCGGCCCCAGGGATACCCCAAGCAGTAAAATGGATTTCGGGAGCGCACCAATTTTCCTCCCCTCTAAACGCACCCACAGAAATTCTAAATTTAAGTACTGTCTTTTTGTCAAACTCACTTTCCTTCAGCCAAGTACACATGAAGGCTCAGTCCAAACAGGATTTTAGAAATCAACCCCGAGTGCTAAGTGTACTAATGCACAAAAAGTAAAGCTGCCAAAGCAACTGCTCTCGCCCTAGGCCCGAGGCAGACCCAGGTCAGGACTCCAGAACCCTTCTGAGCCCGCCCCTCGCGGGGCGGTGACACCTCTTCCCCGTTCCTGGTGGCTGCTCTCCACCCTCTCCACACCTCCGCAAATAGTCTTTTCAATAAACCCATTTAGAATGGCCCTAAAAAAAAAGAAAGAAAAAAAGAAAGAACTCTTCTGATCTAAATACTACTTGTTGAAAGAAGTATCAAGAAATCAAAATAATAAGTAACCATCGAACAACACGCAACTCTGAGTCGCTGTTCACAGTTAAACCAAAAAGAGGACTTAAAAAACAAGTGAAGGTGGCTAAGGATACCCCCCTCAAGCACAGAACATCTCCCTTGTTCCACCGGGCGATTGGGCAGAAAAACACATAAAAAACATATAAAATAACGAACGGGAAAAACATAGCTGTGTTTCACTAGCAATATATTCAAACCGGATAGGGTGAGCGATACTAAGCACTTCGTGAGTGACTGCCATTGTTAACATAAATCAAAGGGAATAAAAGTGACTGTGTGTCATACACACATCATTTAAAAAAAAACAAAAAACCGTCAGATCAAGGAAAAGTAGCCAAAATCAGTTCCGCCCCCAAGTTCAGGACAAAGCGAGCGGTGGGCGTGGACGAACCAAACAAAAATAAAACGCCTTCACGCAGGAGCAGCGCCGCTCCGCCCGGAGGAATCCCGACATTTACGGGGCGGAGAACCCGACCTCCCCCCGGGCGCCAGCGGCCTTTCCTCCGGGAAACCCGGGTCCGAGGAGGCGAAGGGAGCGCCGAGCGCAAAGATGCGGGGTGACCTCCCCGGCGACCCGTCCGCGTCCCCGGACAGAGGGAGGTGGGGACCGAGCGCACGCTCCCGGGGCCCAGAAGGCCCTCCCCTCGCCCCAGCTGGTACCTTCCACTTCCTCCGCGCCCTCCATCAGCATGTCCTTCGTAAAGTTTGAAATCTGGCCCGTGAGGGAAGCCAGGCTGCCCCCGACCTGACCCAGCGACTGGCCCAAGCCGGAGCCGAGGCCCCCCAACCAGGACGACATCGTCGCGGGTTAGAGAACGACCCGATCCGCTCCGCTCCGCTCTGGGAAAGCGCGTTCAGCGCCGTCCGACGACCCCTCCGCCGAACGTCCTCGAGCGGCTGCCTTCGCTCCAAAATCACCCTCAGGACGCGATGACACCGGGCGGGGTTCCTAGGCAACGCGGGTTTCGGGGCTCCCACCAAAGTCCCGTTCCGCATAGAAACGCGGAGCCCGGCCTGGGCCTTTTCCGGGGGCCCGCCTCCGGTCACACGGTCACCCCCGCGGGGCCTCGGCTCATCCCCGCGACTTCCCGCCGTTCAGCTGGGCCTCCTCTTCCTCTGCTTCAATGACTCGCCCCAGTTCTGTGAGCAACTCCTGCCAACTCGACGCCGGCCGCCATGACAGCCACTCGCAACGCGGCAACGGACCATAGAGAGGTGCCGCGGAGGCCTAGAAGGGCCCTGCGGAGCCGGCGGACGTGTCCTTAGCGCAAGGGAGCGTGGGATCGCGGAAGACCCAGCGAGGTCGACTGGGGCCGCTGCCCCCAGCGGAGCGCGAGGTCGCGCTCCAGGTCGCGCGGCGGCGGGGCCCTCGGGGCTGTCGGCGGGCGAAGGTTGTGTGTCAGGCAGAGCCCGCCCTCGCTGGGTGCGCCCCGAGGCCGACGTGGCCCGAACCCCGTGGGCTTAGTGTTGGTGGAACCTGAGTGTTTTGATTCTGACGCCCGCGAAGGCAGTGGTGCCAGGAGACTGGCGGGTCGCTCCACCGCGCGGGAAGAGGCTTCACACAGCTTATCACCGGTTACGTGTAGGTTGTTAAACAGCCTGTCAAGGGGCGGGGAGAGGGACTACAGCCCCAACCGGTTTGGCTCAGTGTATATATAGAGCGTCGGCCTGCGGACTGAAGGGTCCCAGGTTCGATTCCGGTCAAGGGCATGTACCTTGGTTGCGGGCACATCCCCAGTGGGGGGTGTGCAGGAGGCAGCTGATCGATGCTTCTCTCTCATCGATGTTTCTAACTCTCTATTCCTCTCTGTAAAAAAATATTTTAAAAAAAAGAGGGGCTACAAATAGCAGATTGCACTATTTGTGGATGGAACACAGCGATGCCTCCACCCGTGGGAATCTGAGGGCACCAGGCAAGCTCTCCCTGAAATCGGGATGGTTTTAAAGGAACACTTGCATCTTGTTCTGGAAGTGTTTGTTAAACGTTTGCCCACGGGTTAGAGGTGCAGACCCTGGGGCTGACTGCTTGGGTCTTTCACTTGTTAGCTTGCATGACCTTGAGTAAGGCTGCTTCGTGCATCTGTTTCTCATTGTAAAATGACCTCCCTTCTTAGCTCAGTAGCGTTTCAGTTAGTTTCCTTGGGTTGTCTAGGCATACAATCATTTCAGCAAATGCTAATTTGGCATCATCCTTTCCAGTATTTACGGATATTAAACCTGTAATAACATGTTGACAGTAATGGAGATTTGCTTAAAGGTCATTGGAGTGATGGGGCTAACAGCTTTGGGAAGGCTGGACTCAAAATCAGAGAAGCTGGCCCCTCCCCCGTGGTTCAGAGGTTGAGCCTGGACCCATGAACCAGGAGGTTGGGTTCAATTCCCAGTCAGGGCACATGCCAGGTTTCAGCAATCCCCCAAGTAGGGGACATGCAGGAGGTAGGCAGCCGGTTGATGATTCTCTCATTGATGTTTCTGTCTCTCTCTTCCTCACCTTCCTCTCTGAAATCAGTTTTAAAAAAGGAAAAAAAAAAGAGGCTGAAGGCGAAGTGAACAGCTAAGATGTTACTGCACATGATAGTAACTGGACCAGAACTGGCTGAGAAAGACAAAAAGGGTATAAATGGGAGAGATTCCAATATTAGCCACTATAGTTGATGATGTGAATTAACAACTAAATATGATATTAAGGTTTCAAACCTGAACTATAGTCATCTGATAGTGATGAAAATAATGGCATAAAATTAACAGGAAGAAAAACACAATGCACAAGTGGGTAGTGGGAGTCTTGACTAAAATTATAATCTGAAATTGGTTAAACAATATCTTTAGTGTTGAGATCCAAGATGGCGGCATAGGTTAACACCGGAGATCACTGCCTCGAACAACCAATTCAGATTACACCTAAAAGACGGAACAGACATCATCCAGAACCACAGGAAGGCTGGCTGAGTGGAAATTCTACAACTAGGAGGAAAGAGAATATCATACCCA